AAATCTATGCAAATCCTAATGAAAAAACAACAAAGTTTCTTGGAATAAGTTTTGTTTAGTCAAAGTTTAGTTTTTTACGGACATTTCTTATTACTGATTGCTAAATCTCTCTACTAATTTTTACTATAATTTTTGAATTAAAACGCTCTTTTTTGTTTTTCTGAATTTTAAGCTTTTTTCATATTTGGATAAGCTCAATTTACGCTTCGTTAAATTCACTTTTTCAAAAATTATTCTTCGAATCATTAAGTATATAATTACATTTTTGCATAGAGTATGAAATAAATCAAATGCAAATTCAAAAAAAATGCTGTGAAAAATGAAAATTGAAGCTGTATGTATTTGTTACTGTTAACTCTATTGATAGTAAACTCAGCAAAAATTATTACACTTATTAATACAAATAATTTGTTCAGTATGTAAACGGAATTGTTTTGTTCATAAATGTACAACATAATAATTGACGTATCAAGCATATTAACAATGTCAGTATTTGGTCCAGATTTGCGTGAGATGTATTACATGGTAACTTAGTAACCAACTAGTTTGCTCAAATTATTGCAATATAAAGTTCAAAATGCGTTAATTAAGACTTTTAAGATTTATTATTTGCATATTACTAATTATTACTTTATTCTGCCATTAAATATAGACTTGACAATTTAGTATTTAAAATGTAATTACTTATGCTTGTTTAGCTTTTGCATGTTTAAGAGCACATAGTAGTATATCAACAATGCCAGTATTTGGTCCAGATGGACGAGTACTTCAGAAGGGCGCTACAGTAACGAATTCTTCACCACCCAACAGTACTTTGTTAGTATGCCATTCATATTTAATCTTTCATAAACTTATCAATTAAAGCTAGAAAATTTTTGCATTCTCGTATAAAATACATTTTGATAAATAATTTAAAATAACAGATTATTATCAAAGTAATTCATTTTTTGTTGCAAATAATTTTTCCAGTAATCACTACGATAAGCTAATTATTCATAATGTCAAATTTTGTACTAACTGATTAAAATTCATCGAGCAAATAGTAGTAATTATAATACAAAAATTTAAATTTAATTAAAATTCAATGTTTTTAATTTTAGGAAGAGTATTGGACAGCTTGGCAAGCGTTATGGACGAAGTTGTGATTTTTTAGAAAAACGTCGAACCGAAGATTTTCGATCATTTGATAATAATCCAATAGCTCAGGTTGGCTCAATTTTTATGTTTAAAAAATTGCAACAAACTGAGTGACCTACCACACATTTACAAAATTCAACAAATATGCATATTTTAAATTTTTGCTACAGTCATTTGCTGGCATTTATAAATAGCATACTGTCTGTCACTGCAAGTGTAAATGTTTACTTAAGTTTTTTCTAACCTTAACCTTAAGAATAATTTTGGTATAAGTATTAATGCTAAGTAATCAATCCAAAATAAGGATATTAAATAAAAAGCTTTCTAAAAATGACAATAATATTCTTAAAAGAAAAAACTTATAAAAATTTATTGGAAGCATTTTTTTAACTTCAATGCAGCAATAATACTCATATCGAAGTATAATACTGGTATTATTCTTTAAACATTATTTTTGCAATATCATTAGTATATTCGACAACAACACGGAAAACTTAGTTTTATTTTTATTTTTTGAAAATGAATAACAAAAGTAAATAAGTCTAATTTAGTTGTTTACTCTTTTTGTTCATTTTTACTTGAAAAAAACTTTAAAAACTTGTCGATCAAAAAATAGAACTCATTTATTTATTTATTTTTGTTAATATTTCTCTAAGATTTTCGTTGCATTCAATTTTTTGTGATTGTATTAATAAGTTTTAGTTTTAAAAAATTGCTATCAAAAAATTATTGAAAATTGTTTTTTATACAAATTAATGTTTGATTAATAAAAACTAATCACATTTTACATTTTTTTGATTTATTTTCTATAATTAAATTACAGATAGTTTATTGATTATTTACAAATTAATTCCTGGAAATCAAATTACAAATAATCTGATTCAAAATTTTCAATAATTCTTTTTTTATTTATAACTTTTGCAGTGCAAAATTAAAGCTTTTACTTTTTAAATGGCAAATAATTAAAAAAAAAGGAAAATAGTAGTGATTATTGCAGTAATGTCATCTTTAATTTAATGTTTAAAACTAAACCTTGTCTTAAATTAAAATGTGCTGGTTCGAAATATTAAACTTTAACTGCAAAAAATATCTGAAAATAAAGAGGTCAAATTGATTAAATGTCTGACTTTTGCGCTAGTTAATAATTTATATGATAATTTTCTTTTGACTAAGCTTAAATTTTTTTTGTGAATTCCAATTTGTTCAGTATTATTTTATGTACAAACAAGTAAATTAAAAATTAATTTGTGTTTACTTACAAAAATAATTTTAATTATATGCAAAAAATGCTAAACATAAAATTATTGTTTAATATTTTTTAAGAAGTAACCACTTAATTCAGAATAAAACAAAAAACCCTCGAAATTTAAAAATTTTTACTGTAAAAATATTTATACAAATTTCAAGTTAAAAAATTAATTTTAAGCATACGTTTGCAGATATCAAGTGTTAAAATTGATGTAAATTATATAATAATAAATAAATATCACAATTTAAATTTGCATAATATACATCGATAAAATTGGAAGCTTACAATATTTAAGATTCCTAAAGCAACTACAAACACTGATTTTATTTTTTTGTTGCATACTTTTGATTTGAAATTCTTTGTTGAAAAATTTTTTTCACACTTTATATTCATAAAGAGTTTGGGTATTTTTAGTTTTATCACAATTAAAACTTAGTGTCAAAAAAATTAAAATTTATTAGTGAGCATATTTTTACGAGTAAAACACAACAAATAGGAATGATGTTTTTTATAGTTTTACAATTTTAAAAACATTCATTTAAATTTGTAATAATTGTTTTTAAATAAAACTTTTTTGATACTTGAATGACCTAAAATACATGTAGATCAATTTTTGACTGTATTGTGTTTTTCTTAATCTGAAATTACTTGTCAAAAGTGTTTTGTATTGAAAGAATTTGTTTTATACTGTAATTACTGATTTAAATATTAGTATATTACTTTTAAGAACAACTAGATTATTATTATTATTATCAAATTTTGCTTGATCAAATTTAATTTCATGTGATTTTGCATTTGGTAATGAAATACTTTGTAAGTTTATGAATTGCAAAATGATGTGCACAAAATCTATTCATTCTTGATCGAAAATTAGGTATGCTTAATAATCATAATTATGAATTATTAACTATGCAAAATTGAATTTACCTTTGAAAGCTCAATCCACATATTGCTCAATTTACGTTCTGTTCTTTGTTTATTTAACCCTATAATAGCATAATTAAAGTATAATAGTTAGTCATAAATATTCTAAAAATTTGAAAAAAGTCTTCTCAACTTTCTTCAAGCAAGAAATTTAACTTTTAAGTGAGCTTTATAAGTAAATGCTAGCTTGAATACTTTTTTCGAACAAATTTCATCAAAAAACTATTGCCAGTGATTAGTAAGAGTGACAAGAGATTAGATAAACGTTTACTACTACTTTCTGATTTGATCAAATAAATTATGACCTTTTTTATTTTCTTATTTTTTGGTTATTTTATTTTTTAAATAAATAATAATTGAGAAAACTTATAATTTTTACTGTGTAATTATTTCACTCAAATTTTTGCTTTTATTAAATTTTTAAAAAAATTTGTCATCGTATGCAAATGTTTTGTGGTATTGCTCGCTTAAAAATTGTTTCTTCGGAAATGATTTTTATTAATGCAAAAAAAATTTTATATAATTTAAAATTACTTTATTTTTTATTGCAAATTTTTGCTCAATTAAAACTTTGGAACAATTATTTCTAATTGCATTCAGACATTACTGCAAAGAGATTGCTTGCTTTGAAAACGACTTCATTTTCCCAAAAGTTATAAAACTTAACAAAAATTTCTGCTCTAATTAGAAAAGTTACTTTTTTTATTTAACTTTTAACAATAATGCAAAAAAAATATTAATTATAACTCACACAGATATGCGCGATTGAATATTAAACTTTTATTTGTGCGCTTAGAAAATTAATTTATGCATTATTTTTTATAATTGGTCGATGATATTTCAGCGTTTGGCAAATTATATTTTTGTTCATGCGTATACTTATCACTTTTTGCTTCAAATAAATTTGAAAAACGTAATATTTTTGATCTAAACTATAAAGATAATAAAATCAAATTAATTCAGAGCTAAAATTCAAAAATATTCAAAAACATTATTTGCTTGATATGCATGAAGAATAAGTAATATGTGCTCGATATTTACGTAAGCAAAGTAAATAAACTACAAAAACGGAAGAAGTGTTCAGAAACACAAGTATTGAAGTTACCCTTGCAGCTTAATCAAGTTAATCACGTTTTGATTGACAATAAGATTAAACTTTCCCAACAAAGTTGGAATCTCAAAATTGTTATTGCCAAGATTCCAACATGAAGTTTTAAAGTAACTGATAAGGTTTTACTTTATTGTAAAGTTTAGACTTTATTCAAAATAATAGATTAAAGAAACATTTTTCAAATTGCTTAAATCCGTTTCTGAACAACTATTTCAGTTATTCAGATAAGCAATGCTTACTAGCTAAGCTTATTCTTCTAAAAATCATGTCTTATTAATTAACTGCTCTAAACAACTTCTTTCTTGCTAAAAACATTACTTTGGGCATTGAAAAAAAAACTTTCACTTTTATCTGCTCGCTCTTCCCTCACTCTTCTATACTTAGTTAGAAGCTGACAAGTTAAGTATTTATGGCTTAAAAAGTGAGGATATTAAGCCTGGTCAGCCATAGTAAACTTGGCTATCTCAGTCTAGATAAATAAATATGTTTTTCATTACTCAGTTATAATTCAAGTCTCGCTCAGTATTTGTTCTACTAATTCCTAATGCAAAATTATATCCCCTTTTGAATGATATAAATAGGCTAGTAAATTATTTTTGATTTAATTCTATAAACAGTTATGAGTCTTTCAAAATTAAATACACGTAAGTATGTTCAAAATCATGAAATTATGTCTTAAAAAAACAGCAGTTTACGTCAAATGCGTTATATGGTAAAAAGATGGAGGAAAATTTATTGTCGTAATGCTTAATTAATTAATTATCATTAATTACTTATTTTTAAAAACAAGAAAGCTTATCATGAAAATAGATAAATATGTAAATAATTTAGATTCTTTAAAATTGTAATAAATTATTCATAAAAACTACTACTACTACTGTACTTGGATAATAGCTTTGATTAAATATTTGATTATTTTTAGATGAGAATAAAATGTAAAACTAATGGGCTGTGTTAATTCAAATTGTAGTACTTTTTTCTCAAATTTTCATATTTTTTATCTATAAAAAATACTTTCGTTTGAGATTAACTACAAAATTATTTTGGTCACAGTAATTTTTCGGTTACTGTAAGTTTAAATAATGCATTTTTCAAAGTAGTCTTTTTCTGCCAAAGAAAAAACATATAAAACCATAAAAAATTATACATAAAACCATAAAAAATTAATTCGATTTTAAGATGTCAGCAAAATTCGTTCCTTCCCAATTCAAAAAAATAAATTTGCTTAAAATTTGCTGCAGTCAAATTCTGTCTTTTTCATTTTATTACTTGCATCCATAGAAGTTTACCTCGTAAAATTCGTATTTTTTGACATATTTTGAAAATATTAAAATAAATATTTTAAAAAATTATTCTTAAAACTAATTAAGTAAATGATCAAGAAGTAACTTTTCCAGTTCAATATTAATATCTCAAAAGAATATTCTCTGCTAATTTGTTTGTATTAATCAGATTTTATAAAAAATTTTTGATCACATTTTGACTTTAATAAAATATTAATGCCAATATTATTTATGAATCATTTAATTTGAAAATTTTTTGGCATAAAAAAAATTTACATAATTTTTGAGAACTGTTAATTACTGCCTAAAAATGATAAAAAAACAAACAATGGCAGAACAACAGAACGTTTTATCACCGTTAGCCTGTGACCGATCTCGACGTGCTAGAGCAGCCTCAATGTATACTGTAAGTTATAATTCAATTTTTTTGTTCAAAAATTAATTTTTACTTACAAAAGTCATGTATCAATTTAGAAATTGCTTTTTGGCTTATCATTATTAAAGTAGTCATGTTGAACCATCTAAAATCAAGCGAATTATTCCACAA